CTCTCAGTCCATCGTGCCAAAGATCCCGCTGCCCGATATTGAAGTCCTGTATGACCGTATGCACGGATGCCGAGTCCTTACGAAGATCGACTTAGCATCTGGCTACCACCAAATGCTCGTGATGCCATCAGCAAGGAAGTACACCGCCTTCAGGACCCATCGCGATGTTTATGAATGGGTCGTGGCCCCAATGGGTATGGCAGGCATGCCAGGCATCTGGTCTCGCCTGATGCGTCGATTGTTTGACAAGTTCGACTTTGTCGTGGTGTACATGGACGACATTTGTGTGTTCTCGCGGACGATCGAAGAACACGCTGATCATTTGCGTTCAATTTGCACTGTCCTTCGCACCGAGAAGCTATACGCGCGTCCATCCAAGTGTTCGTTTGGTGTCGACTCTGTCAACTTTTTGGGTCACACCATTTCGAAAGATGGCCTCCACGTGGACCAGTCCAAAGTCCGTGCTATCGAAAAATGGCCGGAGCCTCAGTCGAGCAAAGACGTCATGAGTTTTGTCGGTCTTGCCAGTTACTACCGCAAGTTCATCCCCGACTTCGCGGAGCTCGTCCGTCCCCTTAGTGGATTACTGAAGAAAGGTGCCAAGTGGCACTGGGGCGAGGACGAGCGTCGAGCGTTTTTGATAATAAAGTTCGCGTTGCAGCAAGCCCCTGTTTTGCAATTACCTGACTACGACAAGCCTTTTGTAGTCACCACCGACGCCTCTGGTTTCTGCTGTGGTGCAGTCATTTCCCAGCTCGACGGCGACGGTAATGATCGTCCCGTTGCTTTCATGTCCAAGCGCCTCGGTCCTCACGAACAGAATTGGCCCGCGCACGAAAAAGAATTGTACGCCATTAAGTTGGCTCTGGGCAAGTGGCGCCATTACCTGCATGGCAATCGGTTCGATGTATACACCGACAACTCTTGCTGCAAGTGGTTCATGACAACGCCGGTCCTTACGCCCAAGTTGACGCGTTGGCTTGACTTTTTCAGTTGTTTCGACTTTGCCCTTCATCATCGTCCGGGCAAGTTAAATGTGGTAGCTGATGCCTTGTCTCGGCCTCCACATGCCACCTCCACCGTTCACCACCTCTTAATCCACGCGTGTGGTATCCACTGTGCCTCAGTCGCAGCGCGCATCAATCGACTTCTTGTCCATGCCTCGGCTCTCTCCACCTACACGACTCGTGACATCGCCGTCATTGTCGACTCTCCTTTTTGGGGGGAGGAGTTGGAGGAGCAAAAAGGAGTGTTAGTGCCTCAACGCCTAACGGTGAACCACTCGAAGCAAGTGTCCTTTAGCACCATCGAGATGGACACCAAAACCAAGGAACGTTTTGTGAAGGCTTACGCAAAGGACTCAGGGACAAAGTCCATGAAAGGTGAAGCCTTCAAGTGGAAGGAAGGACTCTGCTTTCTCCGAAGTCAAGACCAAGTTTGGAAGTTATGTGTCCCCAACGATGACGTGCTTCGTGCCGAGATTTTATCTCACGCGCACGATTCAAGCACTGCCGCACACCCTGGAACTCGACGCACAATGTTAAGTGTAGCGCAGTGGTATTACTGGAACACTCTTGCCGAAGACGTGAAGTTATACGTCGCGACTTGCGAAACATGCAGTCGATACAAGACGAGCAGTCTGCGTGCAAATGGCAAGATGATTCCCATTCTCGCACCGGAAGAGTGTTGGTAAACTGTTTCAGCGGATTGGATCACCGGTTTGCCCGTGTCAAAAGGCTATGATGCTATTTTCGTAGTCGTAGCGAAGCTATCCAAGCGGCCAAAGTACATTCCGACGAGATCAGATGGCGACGCACCCCAAACGGCGAAAGAATTCTTCGAACATGTTGTTCGCCACCATGGACTACCAGCAATGATCATCAGTGACCGTGATCCCAAGTTTACAAGCACGTTTTGGAAGTCCCTCATGGAGATTATGGATATCCGCCAAGCCATGACCACTGCCGGCAGAGCTCAAGCCGATAAAGCGACTGAGCGCCAGAATCGAACTCTCGAAGATGCGCTCAGATGCCAAGTGTCGTATCTTGGACAAGACTGGGTCGACCATTTACCAACGATCGAGTATGCCCACCAAGGCTTAGTCCAAACATCAACAGGCTTAACGCCGTTCGAAGTCGACACAGGCCGCAAGTTGCGTAACCCTGCCGTGAGCAGCTCCTTGCCCAAGAATGACTTTGCGAAGAATTTTGCGGAGCATCGAAAGAAAGTCATTCGGATGGCTCACGAGAATTTGACGAAGGCCCAGCAGCGTCAGAAAGAATATTATGACAAGCGCCGCTCGAACGTGACCTTCAAGGAAGGCGATCAAGTATGGTTAGCGACTCGCAACCTGCCTTTAAAGCATGCCCAGATGCTCGACAAGTCTGAGCGTCCCAAGTTGGTTCCACGATTCATCGGTCCCTTTGAGATTCTCCAAGCCATTAATGACAACGCCATGCGCCTCAAGTTGTCTTGCTCGATGTCACGTGTTCATGACGTGTTCAACGTTGATCGACTTAAGCACTATCACCCCAACGAAGCCAAGTTTGCCTCCCGGCCTATCCCGAAAGCTACTCCTGTTATTCTAGACGAATCCACCGGCGAACAAATGGACATTGTCGAGAAACTGCTCAAAAAGCGCCAGTTCAATCGCAAGTTGGAGTACTTGGTCAAGTGGCATGGACAGCCCGAAAGCGAAGCCACGTGGGAACTGATGAAGGACATCAAGCATGTTGTGCACTTCAAGCAACTCGTCCAAGACTTGGAGTCAAGGCGTTTCAAGGTGTAGCAAGACATCAGGGGGAGAATGTAGTGATGTGGCAGGTGGGGGTAACGCCTTGCCACCACCTTGCCCGCACCCAGATCCTAAGTACCTGGCTCATGACGCACCCTAGCTAATGCTTGCCTGGGAATGTGTCTCAAGGGTAAGTATGGCTTAGAATCGCTAGCCTAGTGAAGTTCCCCAATGTCTCAACCCCACCCGTGTCTATTGTATACAAAAGTGCATATTAGTGTAGAAGTAGTGAAGTAGATTAAGAAGATTTCATAGTGATGAGGATTAAGGAGATCTTTGTAGACCTTCAGTTAATTCATTGTGCATTAGAGAGTATTCGCAACGTCGTTTCTTTTATCAAATTGACAATTCACTCGGCTAGTTTCAATTGGAAATTTCCACACTTATCAAGTATTTGCAAAGTAGAAAGTTCGGATACATCAACGACAACCGGATACGCATTCTCGGAAATGGTGGTGGCTCCGCGGTTGTCGGTCGAGCAAGCCATAGTGGTCCTTGCTCGCGTATACCACTCATCTCCCAAGCCCAGGCACTTTCTACGCACTGTCCAATTCATCCATGAGCATAACTATCTGCGCCTCCGACTTCAGCATCCACGTCAACGCATTTTCCGATATCATGGACGACGCAACATCCCTGTTCCTCTACAGATTCACCGTACCGCAACTACGTGTGTTG